TAGATAGAATACAGACGTTGGATCAGGTAATCTCTAATATTCTTCCCAAAATTAAGATTCTCGTGATTTTATAGTTTAATGTTTTATTGACCTACTTGTCACTTAATGTTATAATCACAACATTTTCAGACTTTAGTTATTCCAGAAATTTCCCTTGCTCTGTAATACCTATGTAAAAGAAAGCTGCTCTAAAGAAAAAGAAAAAAAAAACCCCTGAAAAATGGGCTCAGTTGCTTTACAGATGAGGGGAAAAAAGGGGGGCTCTATAAATCAGTACTGTATGGGGAAAAAGGGCTTCAGTAAACTTATCAAAAATTAATGTTTTCTTGAAAAAGCTATACACACCTTGGCTTGTCCATTATAATCATCATCTAAAATGTTTAGAGAATTTGAAACGGTAGTACCGCGAAAAAAGCGTGAAGATCTAAGATACCGCTGGAAACTCAGTAACCGTCTGATATTCCTTGCAGAGACAGACACTTCAATTTCAGATTGAGCTGAAATAAAAGGAGTAAAAGGTGAGTACAGCAGTAAACTTATGATTGTGCGTTCTTTCTTTGCAGTTATGTACAAGTATTTTTAAAAATTCATTAATCACTTAACCACATTTCTCGGAGGAAAGAGGTACTTTATTTCTATTTTCAATTGAAGAACTAAGAATGAAGGAGTGAATGGCTAACGTTGACGGCATTTGGAAAGCTAATGAAGAGTGTGGCAGTTTTTTTCACTTCCAAGAACTATCACCTCTCACTCTTTCACTCCAATACACTATATAAATGTGGAGCAGGAACATGAAACATCTAGTTTTAAACTATTTGAAAAGCCAGGTCCCAAGTTACATGTGGGATTTTCAAATCCTAATAAGGTACCATTTTAAATATTTGCTTAAGATACTTTTATTTAGAGGAAAAGGAAATGAAATGGAGGAAAAGTGGTTTATATTATATAAGAGTTCTAAAGGAGAAGGATAAAAATTGTGTAACGGTGAAAAACTCTAGAAAAGATGTGGTTCTACAGTGGAGACTGATAAGCTCTCTTTCAGTGAGCTTAACAGCCATTTTTTCCCTCTAATGTCAGAATAAACTACAGTTTCTTTGAGCACCAGATGAAAAGCTATCTTGTAGGAAACATAAATTTATCATTAAGTTTTAGAATCAAACTAAATTCAGCAAAATGTTCACAATATAAAACACATGAAAATTAAGACTAAGGATCAACAAATCATCATCTGTCTTTTTCCATTAATTAGAATCTACTAGGTGGAATGACAGGGCATGGCATTCTCTCTTGTGTGTCCACTCACTCACTCCTCAGTTAGCCTCTACTGCCTTGTGTTTCCTTTTCTCTAAAATAATGGCAATAATGTCTAATTCAAAGAGTGCTGGATTAAATGAGATAATTTAAACACAAGGCAGATACACAGCAGGTACTAAATAAATAGTAGCAGTGTGGACAATAATAAAATTGATATTAATCTGTCTGCTTGGAGGAATGCTTCAAGGTAATTATCCTAAATTCCAAATGTGCTCATGTAGCTCTAAATAAAAACATTCAGTAGATCCTCATCATCTGATGGAGTTTGGATGTGTTGTCCCCTCCAATACTCATGTGGAAATTTGATCTCCAATGTGGCAGTGTTGGAAACTGATTGAGTCATGGGGGCAGATCCCTCATGAATGGATTAATGCTCTCCCTGGGGGAGGAGGGATTAATGAGTGACTTCTCGCTCTATTAGTTCCCGTGAGAGCTCATTGCTTTAAAAGACCCTGGCACCTTCTCTCTCTCTCTCTTGCTTCCTCTCACCATGTGATCTGCTTGTACCCGCTGGCTGCCTGCTGCTTTTCTGCCATGAGTAGAAGCAGCCTGAGGCCCGTGCTAGATGCAACCGTCCCAGAATCATAAGCCAAATAAACCTCTTCCCTTTATAAATTACCCAGTCTCAGGTATTTCTGTTATAGCAACACAAAACGGACTAAAATATCATCTTAATATGAATTCCATCTCATTAGCCAGGAAGAGAAAGCTACATGTTTTAGGTTCTCACTCTCTCCAGACTCATCTCAGGAGTCACCTTCCCTGAGAAGCACATCTTAATGCACACTCCTCCCATCTTGAAGAGGTAGAAGGCACCTCCTCCAGCTTCCCAAAGTTACCTGAGCATTCATCTAGTACTTCTGACAACGTATTATAATTGCTCGTTTATCTGTCTCCTTCAACAAATGATGAATTTCAATACAGGTGTGCACTACTGTTTTCATCTCTGTAGTCCAAAGCCTAACAACAGTGCCAGGTATACAGTAGGTAATTATAAAATATGTTGAATAAATGCATACTGTTTTTGAAATATCTGATGAGTTCTGAGGTTCCCATACACCCAATAAAACACTGTTATATGTTTACTTCTCCCATTTTTTCATTCCAGTGAGTCTAAAATAAAAAGTTATCTAAAACAATTGTGGAGTTAAATTTCTGATCTTTATCAATGTAACTTACATAAAAAGGGCTAGAACCAAAATGGTAAATCTATTAATATCAAGTGATTATGTTTAAACTAGAATTAGTCTGTTTGAGGAAGTGAGAGCAAACTAAATTCTGTGAAAGCAATGTTCCAAGTACTTTGCAAAAATATCTCATTTAGTCATCAACAACCTCAAAAGACAAGTATTATTGTCCCCCACTTTACACATGAGAACACTGAACCTACAACAAATCAAGTAATTAGCCCAAGATCATATAGCCAATATAAAGTGACACCTGTATTTTAAAATACCAGATCTATATACAAAGCCTGTATCTACATGATTACTCTTATGTTTTTTTTAAAAAATTATATCTCTAGTATTGTTCGTTTGCTTTTTATTATACAAATTCTATGTACACAATTATTCAAAATAGTCCTTACTTCAGATGAAGGTATGTACAAAAAGAAACACAGAAGTAAAAAAGCTAATCCACAGGACTATGAGTATATAATGTGACCCTTCCAATCTTATTACTAGAAAGGAGTAGATCTGGAATGCAGAGTGGAATAACACGAATATATGGGGGGGAGATAAGATCTAATTCACATAATACTAGCACCATCATCTCTGCGTTTGTAAGGCACTTCACAGTTTTACAAAAGCATGTTCACATCCACTAGCCCATTTAGTAATTACTACAAGCCTGTGAAGATGGACAAAATTATCATCCTCATTTTACAAATATAACATTAGAACCAAGGTAGAAATGTAATACAATTAATACAATTAACGCATTAGAGCCAAGGCACTTAGAAAACTTCCAGAAAATGTTGCAGAATACATGTAATCTATTCATTATGGAAAAGTAACCTGAACAATAGTTCAAGGTCATGAGTACAACTGTATGAGCACTCCATTTGATTTATCTTAAATTATACACAAAAGGTAACAATTTTATAACTGGCAATTACACTGCGTTGTGTGTGTGTGTGTGTGTGCACGCGCACATGTACTAACGGTAGGGTTACTGCTTTCAAATTATATGTTCAAACTAATGCATCCTTAAAGTAAATTTGAGAATCTCTTTGCATAAATTCTACCCTCATTTCCTCAAACAGGCTAATTCAATTTTTTTTTTTTAAAGATGACCGGTAAGGGGATCTTAACCCTTGACTTGGTGTTGTCAGCACCACGCTCAGCCAGTGAGCAAACCGGCCATCCCTATGGGATCCGAACCCGCGGCCTTGGTGTTATCAGCACTGCACTCTCCCGAGTGAGCCACGGGCCGGCCCCCAGGCTAATTCAATTTTAAACATAATCACCTTACATTAATAATTTTACCATTTTGGTTCTAGTCCTTTTTATGTAATTTTTTCCTTTCATTCTAATTCCCACTTTCACTTAATGTTTAGCTCTAAAAATAAAATATTTACTCTATTGCAATCTCCCACACAAAGTCCCCAAAATAAACTAGTCTCATTTGAGGGGAAAATCCCAACAATTCAATCCACTGTACTTAAGTCCCTATATCAGCAGTCCCTGTATCACATTCACGCTGTCAGTGGTTAAGTCAACGGGCACTGTCTGGGAGCTAGGGTCCTATCAATGAAATCATTATATCCTCCCCTGCCTAACTCCTATTTTCTGGATTACTTCTGGACAAGTCACAACCTCCTGATATCTCATTTTCCTTGACGGAAAAAAACTAATCATAATTCATGCCTTCTTCCTATTTCACAAGGCACAGAAGTTTGGACTCATTATCAAGAGCTCTGTTTTGACCATATTAAACTGAGTATGAATATTAGACATTGACTCAAGGAGAAATGCTCACTCATTACAGGAGCCCAATGGCTTCCAGTGAAAATTAATCTCATGAATACACCTACACAAAAGAATAAAAAACAGACCCTCACATAATGATACAGAACCAGCTTAACATTTACTGATTATTTTACAGACAAACTAAGAAAGGACAGAGAACTTGTCTAGATGAATCAGCAGATCATTCAGAGAAGTTTCTCTTCACCTAGAAGGTCTTAGGGCCTCATATAGGAAGGCCATACCTAACAAGATTGCATTCTGGAAAGGACTGAAAATCCCAACTCAAAGCTCTGTCTAAGACTCAATTTAGAACCAGAACTTGGGGGGATATCTGGTTAGATTTTTTTCATTAATCTAATTTTTGAATAAGTAATGCGTTCACGTTTCAAAAATATAAAGGAAGAAAATGGAAGAATGAAATATACTACATATGCTTATATATGTACTACTTGATTTGTCACCTTTAGATACCATCCTTTAATTTTCAGTGAATTACACACAAGGATGTCACTCTATATCCCATCTTCCTTCCTCTTTTTTCTCTCAATATTGTTAGGTACTAGAACATATTTTTTATTCTCTTTTATTCTAATCCCCACTTCCATTTTAGGTTTAGCTCTAAAAATTATGTATGTTCAATATTGCAAGTCCTTTTACCTTGGTTTCCCCAGTTATATTTTGTTTGCTCATGTTCATCCTCTAGCAGTTTCCGTAAGAAGAGCTCATAAAAACAATATTATCTCACAGCAATATATTTCACACACAATAAATATATCTTGAATGCTCAAAACTTTCTTTCAGTAGTCTTTGTACTTGAAAGAACAGCTTGAATGAATATAAAATTCTTGGTTCTCATTTCCCTCCTTGAGTTTATTTGAATGTATTAGTTCATTGTCTTCTAGCATTGAGATTTGCAAAATCTGAGGCAAGTCTGTGAATTTCCCCCTTATTAGTGACTAGGTCTTTTGTACGTCCACCCACAGAATTCTCTCTTTACCTTTAAAGCACAATGACTTTACTAAGACGTATCTCAGAACTAACCATTCTGTGTCATTTTTCCCTGGTATGTGGTGTGCTCTTTCAATATGCATGTATAAATCTTGTTATTTCTGATGAGTTTTCTTGAATTATCTCTAAATATTCACTCTGTTCTACTCTTTCACCCTTACTATTCAGAGACTCTAATCTGTCTGTTGAAACACCTTTGCCTG